TGAGTTTCATATAGTACAGCAAAACAATTCMATTTATACTAATGTTCTTTGTGTTCAGATACCTGTCAAGTGAATTCTTCCCTTCTTATACCTTACCTGTGCACRATCACTGTTAAGAATTTATTTTGTGTCACTTTTGGTTTTGAGTTTTATACCTTATTAATCATTTTGTGCATGTTTCACTCACAAAATTCATGATCATGAATGTTTCAAAATGATGCAAATAACTATTTTAAATTTATTTCTATATTTCCTTCAAAATAAGTCTCCTGTATAGTAGCAAGTATGTTTTCCTTATGGATTTAAGCACCCAACAGTGCATCACAAATGACAAGCTGAATGCACTGTATTTGTTTCTTCATCATTAAATCTATGAGACCATGAGGATCAGTGTGCTGCAAGAAACTTATCCCACATTATATTTAAAATGTGACATCAGATATGATTTCAAAATACTTTTCATTTAAAACGAAACTGTGTGCAGTGATACAAGGTGATGCTATTGCACTTAGAGTACTTTGAGGGCAGCGTGAGAAAATAATTGAGGAATAGTTTGAGAAAACTTTTTGCATAGGCACTGCTTTGCCGACTTTGTGAGGATTAACCTTTTTTAATGTTTGTATTACACTAAGTTCAGTAATATAGAAATATTGAATGTAATCGACTTTTTAATTAGATAGCTTGCATGTATCACAGTTATTCCCACAAATTTTCATGATAATGAGCCCCAAAGTTCTGCACAGTGCCTTGGTCAGTTCTGTCTGGGTAAGACAGACTAGAGCAAGTAGAAAGGGTTTTTAAACAAGTGCTGTGTTTTAAATAGCAATKATGATAGATAAAAATACAGTGTACCAAAAGATTTTGCACATTGTAATTCTTTGGGCAATTAAGCTTTGTAGTATTTTTTTGGTCTTGTTGTGGTCAATTTTTGGCACTTTATTTTCCCCCCAGTGAAAATTTCATTGTCAGGCCTTGTTGAACTTGTAACTGTGAAGAAATTAATTGATCCTCTGGAATTTAGGGTTCTGCGGTGATCGGTGTATCAAGGCTGCTGATTATTGCCCTAAACATCTTTCATTCTCATCTGAAGCTGCAGAGGACAAAGGAGACTTTACATTTCTTAAACTTGAGACAAATTAGAAGCAGRAAAATGCTGTGATTTGAGGCAGCAGGGAACATACTTGGGATTTAAATACAAATGTAGGAAAAAATAAATCTGTTGAGTGCCCTCTATGAGAAAGTCTTTCCTTGTATTTGTATTGAACAAATACATCCAAGTGCTGTTTAAAGATGATTTAAACAGCTGCAGTGGGTARGGGACTGTAACCTTGTTAATTCTTAGACTTTTCTATTTGTTTCAACTACCACTGTTACTCAAGGTAGCTAATTACAACACATACTGTTATGGTCAAAACCRTAGATCTGCATAGCTAATGTGACAGATATTTAGGCATTTGACATCAYTGTTTTTTAGAAGTTTTCTTGATGCAATAATGAAAACCTGTGTTAGCCAGTGTGGTGKATTTGAAGATGTAAGATCCATTCATCCCTTATGTAATAAAAAAGGCACTTTTAGTCAAGACCRGTAAATGGAATCTTGTGTCTCTGAACTTAGAGACCTTCTCACAGGAAGGTGAAACTAGTTCAGGCTGAAAGATGGGAAGATGGCTTTGGGCTGGTGCTGCAGATCACCACCAGTGACAACCAACGGTAGAGATCCTTAGTTCCAGTCAGCCTTGGAATCCAGTATTTACTTTCTTCCAGTGAGAGGTCTTTGAGTAACCTCCTAGTAGGCTGACCATCAGGCACCTTATGGTAACTGGGATTTGATCTTGCAGTGTTTTGCAGCTCCCAAACCTGTAGACAAGATCTTCAGCTCTKTCTCTTATTGCTCTAACTCCAGAGCTGCTTGGCAGTGACAGGGAGAGCCCTGAGCTGCTGTTGGGATCCTGTGTGGCTGCAGCTGGGAGCTCTTCAGGGCAAGGCATGGACCAGGTGTAGTGATTCTTGATTCCTGACTTTACCTAGTTCAGATTTTACTTTAGTGTGGACAGCAGAGTGTTAAGATCTCATTTCTGCTGTGTGAGAGCTTAATTTCATGAGTTCATTTGAAAGCATCCCTGTGACTCTTCTGGATATCCAGGATTGCATGGTTCCAAGCTAATTGTGTTAATCAGTTCTGTTCTCTCTGTATCCCCTAAATGAATATTACTTGAGCTATTAAAGGAAAACAGTCATCTTAGGGCAGGATATGGCTATATTATGTTAATATTGTTTACTGCTTCCYATTATTATTTAGTGAAGTATGCAAATAAAAACCATGGAGAAATGCAAGTTTAAATGGACTGGGAACAGTTGAGAAGATTCATTTYTAAAGAAATAATTAAGGTATAACAATGTTAGATTGGCTGGCCTAGGGAAGGAAGGGGAAGATGCATCATTATAAAGAAAAAATAGAGGGTGCAATAAAATAACAACTTSATAGACATTAATTGCTTTTGTGTCTAATACTACCTAATCATAAAAAAACCCAAAACCTCCAAGGTTCTTCTGCATAGAAAACACATACACTAAATGGAACTGCATTTATTTAAAATACCTCTAGGGGCTTGAGAGACTTGGTGTGCCCACTCTGCCTTTCCTTCAGTCYGTGCAGGATAGATTTGGATATTTACACATGTGATTAATATGGGTGTAGTTGGTGCTACCTCGTTAATGGAGAGAGAGATCTCCAGGTACTTCTGCGTGTCCGGTGGGTTGCTGAGCAGTCCAGGACAATTCATTTGGTTTCTGTTCTGTTTGCCTGGTGCTCAGCAGCATCTTGGGGAATAAAAACACAGGGCTGCCTTAGTGTGCTACTGTGGAATTTCAGTGTAGGTCTGTGGTATTAGTGCGGAGCTGTGCAGCTCAAAAAATAATGAGCAGTGTAGGCATAAATTTGATGTTGGATGAATTTAGTGTCTGCTTCCTGGGCCATGAGGGGAATTTCCTGCTCAGGAGGTTCAGCCATGCCTTTGCTTTGTATATTGATGATAACTTGCAAAATTAGCAGCAAACAATTCCTTAATAAATCACTGCAATTCATTCATTCATTCTTCGTGAAAATAAGATTGGGTTATTCTCTCATGTGATCAGCTTCCATGCCAGTGTGCAGATAGGCTGTCAAGTGGTACCAGTTCAGCRGAGGAGCTGCTGTGGCCGCTGTGAGTCCGCGGGGATGCGGAGCTGTCAGATCCTTGTCTTGCACGCTGCAGGCAGCACTGGAGGAAAAAGAGTTTGTTGTGTGCAGAGCCAGCTGCTGGTGTGACCTTGCAGGGCTGTGAAGAATGAGGCTGCTGTGGGAGGCTTGGGGAGGGTAGGCAGGGCCTGCAATTGTCWCTGAAGAATTGGAAGTTCTAAGTGATGTAAGAAGGCCTAGCAGTCTTTGTATATCAAACTGAACAACAAGCACCCCWAGCAGATTGTCTAGATTGAATTTTTGCTTCCTCTTTTTTTTCCACTTCAAATAAGCTGAATTTTTAGGTGGTATTTGGCATACAAAGGGCCTGCTTTCAGTTACTTGTYTGAGTTATATGAGTGTGCACAACACTATAATTTTGTAACATTTACAACCTCAAATAGCACTGACTGTAGRTTGTTTCCAGTGTGTTAGATGTTGATCAAGAGTTTTTTGATTCTGATGTTRTTTGCCAAGAAAACTTTCAGATATTTAAGTGCTTCTAAGTGTACAAATTATGCTTTTTGCAATGCTGCTCAAAAGGAACGGTCTTCTGGTTTTAAAATTAGTTTCTGGGCTGTGKACTGGAAACTTTGACTTGTGTGTGGTCTCTGTAAAGGTGTTGATGGGAGCAAGTTTTTCCATTAGGTGAAGTGGTTCAAATGTATTTCTTGATTCAAATGTAACTTCTGAATCTGAAACAGCATCCTATAAGTGAAATGAGATTGAATACAGTTCAGGCATTTYGCACCAATGTTCTTACATTGACTGYGGCATTCACTCCTGTAGACTTCCCCAAGGTCACCCTTGCACAGAGTGGATACAGGTTTGGAATACTGGGGTTTAATGGCCTCACTGTAGAAACCTGTAATGATGTGGATGTGAGGTGTTTTTCCATAATATCAAGACTCAGTAGGAATTTTTAGAAGTATTTCCCATATTTCCTGTGTTTTAGTCCCTTTTAAGCGTGGTTTTGGTGGGTGTGTTATTTATCTGACCTCTAGAGCAGAAGGGAGTAGCTTCTTACAGATGAGCTGCTGTGTTTTCAGAAGCTGCAGGGGAAGGCAGGCTCACTTGGCATTAAAGTGATCCAGTTAATTTAGAGAGGAAAAACATAAATTGCTTTGATAAGAAAAACAGAAGTTAGAGGCCTCACAATGAAATGATAGTAATGGAAAGTTTGAAGATTTATCTGGTCAAAGGTTGCTTTTCAAGCTTTCAATTCCTAAAATGCCTTTTTAGGCTTAGGGTAAGAAGTGAGAAGACTTTAATTTTTAGTATTAATTAGATACCTAGTAACAAAACTAATTTTTTTTTCTGCTGCTTCTTTCTTGTTACTTAGAGTTAGTGTAATAGTTCTGAGACAATGAGAGCAAACTTTTGCCTTTCCTTGAACACTAGTAGTAAACTGAACACACAGTAGTAAAACAGGAAATCCTTTTTTTTAATTAGTAAATCAGCTAACAGTAATATGGTTCCATAAAACAAAACAAAAATCATTTGGGTTTCAGTTTGCTAGTACAGCATAGAGTGCTTTTRCAGAAGAAAAAGTAAGTTACTGACTTTTCTTAAGATATGCAATGCTTTTTTTAAGTTATGCAGCTACTTTGATTTGAAATCCTAGTTCTATACTCAAAATATTAGTTCTTCTTTACAGTTCAAAATTCTTTTTCMCTTGTTACCACAAATTGCTGCTGTAAATGATGACTTGTAAGAACCTATGGAGAAAYGATTTTGTGCCAAGATTAACCAGGATTAATATAAAMTTTGTCTTTGTTTTCAGTCCRGAGGAGCTTCCTGTCCATGATGCAGTGATAGAAAAGGTAAGTCCACTGTCCTAAAGGTTTTTTTACTGGGAGGTAAACATTTACAGATTTACAGCTTTTAAAAATATAAATCATTGTGAAATGAGTTGATTAAGTGGTTTAGTGATTCGCATTTCTAAAAAAGCATATTCTAAGTCTCCTAAGAACTGTTGTTCTTGAGGCCACATTAACTCTCCCTCAGATCCCTTGGGGCCCACTGGTTCTTACATTTGCTCCTGTTGATGAAACATGTATTTTCCTCATCCATTATTTGACCTAGTGAAGGAAATGGAGCTCTTTAAGAGCTCACACCMACCTCTGCCCTGAAAGAGTGTGAGCTGTTGTCCTGTGCCAGGAGCTGTCCCCATCTGTACCATGGGGACAGGGATTRTAGGAACAAGGTGGTGGCATTGACACCGAGGTGAGCGCTGCTGTCCTGGGCAGTGTGGGGTGCTTTGCTGTTTTGGGGAATGGTGACAAATATCCTGCTGCCACTACAGGGTGGTGACCTGCCCTGCAATGCTGAGTTGCTGAGCTGGGTGTGTTCCAGCCATGCAGGTCCTGGTCCAAAAATCCTTYTGCTGCTGGAGGGTACTGGAGAAGYAGTGTGACAACTGATGTGTTGTGAACATGGAAAGCAATAAAAATAATGGGGAACTGAATTTCTACTGGTCTGGGCCTAATTGCTATTGTTATTTCCACTTGGTCAGTCGAGTCTGTTGTTACCTCCAAAACCAAATCAGATCAGTAAACTCGAGGTAAAATATTTAAAGCTGTAAGTTTAAGTTAGCCCTCTTGGCTGCACAAATCAGTAGAATACATGGACAAAGGATGGAATGTCTTATTCCAAGGCAGCTYAGCTCCTGGAGTGTTCAGAACAGCAGTGCTTCTGAAAATTAATTATTTTGAGCTTCAATTATATAATGAGGTTAGTAAGAGATGCTTGCTGTAAAAGAATGGAACTTGTGAGTCCCTTTTGTTTTGCCTTGGTTCGTGCGTGGTTTTGCATGCACAGCCTGAAATGGTTGCATTTTCCTGCCATGTTTCATTACATTTAATAACACAGTGAGTGTATGTATAATTTCATTTCCATCAGAAGGACACAGCAGGGGGGTGRGTTTCTGAGCAGAAATATTAGGCAGCTTGCAGTTACTGTGGTAGATGAGCTCTGAAGCTCTGATTCACTGTGGCTTTGTAGTTAGCCTTAAATTATTGGGGAGAAAATCGTGTCTCAGTTCTCTGTCCCATATTCTATTCATGCTGTCTCAAAGTGTCAKCACAGAAACTGTATTTATGGAGCCAATGTTGAATTGCAAGTCTAGTTGTTTTTATAATMATCCAGTGATGCTCCTGCATTAGCCTCCTGGTTGCACTCCTRATGGTATCCTGACCTCTGCTGGTCTGAGCTTTATCTGGCTCTTGTCAGCAAGGTTTGCATCTTTGCAGTTGTCAAGATACCATTCATAAGGATTACTGTGTTACATTAATGCAGACTAAGATTAAAAGCTTTCTTTAAACATGTTTTGAAGTCACTTACTCTGCAGAACCATTTATACTCTTTTTTGCCTTATTTGTGAATTTTAAAAAATATTCCTGACTTGAGTTTTTATTTTATTTGTAACTTATGTAAAGGGTTGATATCCTTGTGAATTTGGAACCTGTTCTTCATATAAGAAAAACCCCTTAGGCTGGGATGTCTGCATGTGTATTTTTGCTCATAATACCTTTACTCTGCATTCAAAGTAATAATTGCTAATTTTGGTGCTTTATTACTTTGTTGCACATTTGATGCCTTAAATGTATTGAATCATTGTCCTATCTTATGAACTCCTTAACCTTGAGATGAATAATCCAGCACATCTCAGATAAAACTAGAGGAGGAAWGATTTTCTGGAGGAGGAAAGGAGCCAGAGAATTGACCTTAGGAAACGTGGAGTCTGTGTCTGACTCTGGTTTTGAAGTTCTGTGAAATGTTTTGTAAGTAAATTTCAGTTTGTTAGGCTTTGTCATTGGTTTACTTAATTATAAATTCTCTGGGGAGCAGTTCAGCAAGTTCTGGTTTTGTTTGAAGCTTGCTTTAAGCCTCAGCCCTGGCACACTGCTCTCTGGGAAGGTGGAGTGCTGCACACAAGAGAGRTGCTTGCCAGCTTCATGCTATTTTTTCTTCCACTAGTGCATTGTTTACTGATACCAGAGTAGGAAAACAGCACTGCTTCAATTAGGTATTCTGTTACTCCAATGGCAAAAATATTTCAAAGTGTAAAATGTACTCAGAAGACAGATAAATGGATTCCTTTTTTTCTCCTTTTTTTGGTGACAACTACATGAAACTTGAGTGAAAGAGCTGCAGCAGTTCCCTCTGCTCTGCAATGAGCTGCCTCAGATCTGTCTGTGTTTTCAGTGTTGTACCTGTTAGACATGAAAGTGAACATAATTCAGACAGGGAGAGAAATAGCTAAAAGTTTTCACCAACTAAACACAGAAATAATTGTTATTTTGACTACAGTAGCATCACTTGAGAATGGGGATAAATTGACACAAAGACATAAAAGCTTGAACAAACATAGAATTCAAGTGAGCTACTGGCTCAAAAGACCAAAAATCTTGAAAGCAGATCAAACATACAAATAAAAAGACTAGTGGAAGCAGATAGGTTTTTATTTTTCTTACCAATTATCTGAACAACCTRTTGAGGGCAGAGACCTTTCCTGACTTCCTGTTATTCCTGCAGTCTAAACTGTGCSTAGAGAACAGCTGCTTTAAGAGATGTTGAAAATGCTGATTCCTTAAACGGGTTGCAAGTTTGGAGTGAAGGACAATCTGCAACAGTCCTTCCTGCAAGTGAAGGAGAATCTGAAACAGTCTTGTGATATCTGGGAAGCAGTAGTTTTTCTACCATTCCCCTCTAAGTCTTAACAAATGTCTTTTAAAATTATTTTTGAAAGGCAAGTATTTGAGACATTGCCCAATTCAGTCAGGACCTGAGCAGCAATGTGGGCAGTTGATTGCAACACGAGTAGTTAGGTAAGTTAAGGTTGAAAGAGTAGGGGCATTACTTTCCCCCTTAACATTTTTGTACTCGTGCCAGGCTTAATATAATTTGAATTAAAACAAAAATAACTTAAAAACTAAGAAACCAGCTTATTTMCAGGACATTTTGTGGACTGAATCATAGTTGGGGTGGACCTAAACATGATCAAGTTGTACTTCTGCTAATGCAAGGCTTTGGGCTCCTGGATTAAGGAAGTTCAAGAAGTTATTGCATTGATAGGCAAGAAAGAATCCATAAATTCTCATGGGTAAAAGCTAGAAGTAAAATTAGAATTCTGTTGGGACAATAAGTAATAATTTTCTTTTATATTTTCCCCCAACATTTTGGATGCAATTTGACTTYATAAATACTTAATGAAAATATTAATAACTTTAAAGTATCCTGCAGAGCTTTAAAATTAAACTTTTACATTGTCACCAAATTGAATCCCTAACCATATGAATATCTTTCCTGTCTCTGTTAATTCCTGTATTGGATGTTGGAGGTAGAGGAACTGTCCTTTATAATAAAACTAAATACTTTTTCGTATTCAACTCTGAAGAGAAAGCAGTAGCCACACACATACATTTTTCTGCTTTAACATTTCCAGTCTGGATACTCTGCTCCAAAGCTTCATGGAAGAGGTGAAATAGTGTCATTAAGAAATGGACAAACACAGAGTAACTTTGTAGTATAATCAGAGAACATAAAAACAAAATGAAGTGGTTTTTTTTGTTTTTTTTTACTCACCAAATAGGTAGAGAAGAAACTCCTAGAAATCTTGTACTTAATCTCCTTGTACAAAATATAGTTCTTCCATAGTTAGGAGTTAATGTTTTCTGCTTGGTTTTTGGTTGGCTGCTTTTTGGATGTTTTAAATGAACTGATATAATTCTGTACTGTTCTCAGATGAATGAATGAAAAGTTCATAATGCTCTTTTAAACTTTTTGTCATTATTTTTAGAAAAAGATAAATAATTTTAAATGTATTACTTTTGGAAATATTAAACATTTCTAATTCCTTTTCAGCAAAAGCACCTTGAAATTGAAAGAACTACAAAATGGCTTAAGATGCTGAAAAGCTGGGAAAAATACAAGAATAGTGAAAAGGTAAAATTCTGCATGCTTTTGTCATTGGCTGTTGCTTCTGGAAAAATGTAAACCCTGAAATTAGATTGCTTGTGTTTGGTACCTGAAAAAAAACAAACCCCACACTGAAAGAATAAGGTTTTTTATTCTTCCAAAATGCAATAATACCTAATAACCCAATAGCAATAGTAATTACCCAACAAAATTGGTGGTCAGATGCAAGGAATTGTGTTCAGTGTGTTCATGTGTGCAAAATAATCTGTGGAGAGAGTGGGTTGTCAGATAAGCCATTAAGTGCTAAGTACTTGCTGCAAAAACTAGGYAGGGACTTTGATGTGATCCATTTATTTGCTAGAATTGTAGTCTTGGTCATCTTAAATTACTGAAGAATTTGTGGAAAAGTTCTTTTGGAAATTTTCTGGAAAAAGACTTTCTGGAGAGGCTGTATTCCAAACACTGGGTTGTGGGGAGAATTTCATAGCTGATCTTGTGGMTGTTTGGTGGATAATGCACAGAATCCCAAATTCATATTCCTTCTTCTCTTCAGCACATCTTGAGACTTGCTTTTTTTGGGGGTTCTGTTGTTATTTTCTGACGCTTTTGATCCATGTGTACTGGGCAGAGSAGCAAGGATGGCTGTTACACATCCCAGGTTCCTGCCCGGTTGACTGGCCTGGAATGTTATCCTACTCCTTTACTGGCCTTTTGATTTAGTAAGGTGTGTGTGCAAAGTTGAAACCTTTGAAGAGAAAGATTGAGAGCAGAATATTTATTTATTAGCCTGATGAACAGAGAACTGAGATGCTGCCTGTAAACCAGAGGGAGAAATTTATTTGGCATGTCCCCTGCTGATCCAGCCTGCTCACTACCTGTGTTTTTGAGACTGGTGGCTGTGTCTTGCACTTTGCTTTTGTTAAAAACCAAAACCAGTGGTGGATCTCTTTCAGGATATAGCTCAGAATGTAGAAAGTCCCTTCCCTTAAATATGATGTGAACGCATGAAATACTATTATTTGTKCCCAAAGTTGTTCCCCTTAAAATCCTACTTTCTGTCCTGCCATTTTCTCTGGTAGGAGAAACTAGAGGTCTTAACACTTGTGGCTKTGTTTTGTTCATGTGGCAGTAAGGAGATTTTAAATCGAGTATGTTCCCAAGTCAAAAGGACAATAAAAAAAAACTGTAACAGCTGCTTTGTTTGCAAAGAGAATGTTAAATATGACCTTTCAGGGAACACAATAACCATGTGTCATCTAATCAACAGTGGTTCTGCTCTTCAGGCATTGGTGACATCAGTCTACAAGACACTGACTTAAATAAATACACCAGGCATGCAGAAGGTATAGCAGATCAGCTGAGCAGAAAGAGTTTCAGTTCRTGTAACAAATTATAGGCTGAACTATAAATAGTGGCTGGAATAATTCAATATGTTCATAAAGGGATGAACTTTGCTTGAGGCTAGGAAAAATTTTCAGTCATTGTTGAGCTCTAGTGAAGCACATGAGATTTGAAAAACAAGGGTGTTTTCCTTATGCTTTCTCACATCTTACCTRGTAAGTGAACCAGAAAATGCAGAATAAAGAATCAGCTGTCTCCTCCTCCTGTGTATCCGGTGGAAGGCCAGGCATTATTTGTCACTGCTCTTTATGGAAAGCCTGGCCATCTCCTCAGGGCTGTGCAAAACACACAATTAAAGACAGTTTTTATCTGGAAGTGTGTTGGAAGAATGTACCAGCTCCTGTTCTTGAAGCATGGAAAGAGTAGTTGCAGGAGCAGTTCCTGACTCTTGTTTTCTGTCTTCACTTGACTGGATAAAGTGGTTAATGCTAGAGGAACAAATTGCTAAAGAAAATGAACAGCCTGTGTGTTACAAGACTCACTTCACCTGACACTGCCATGGTTTCTGTGCAGTCASGCTGCTCCTGAAATGAGTGTTCTTTACAAACACTGAAGGGAACATTGCAGCAATAACAATAGTAATAATGTTGTAGGATTATGGATTATAGTTGTAATGATGGTTTGGTTTTGCAAAATGACATATTTAAGACATGCTTCTGCTCTTAAGTAGATAGGAAGGGAGACTCTGAGAAACTGATAGTCCCAGGTATACAGCAGGTATGTACAAAATACAGGACTTTAGACAACCTGTGATGAGCCTTCATAATACACAGCTTTGCTTTGCTTTGAAGGAATCTGTTCACACTGTGCAGGTACTGTAAATTAATCCATGTATTTGATTACATTATCCTAAACTGTCATATGCTTAATTGCAAAATGCAGTTTTCATTCAGTATTCTTGCAGAGCTGCCTATAGGCTGCCTCTCCACTTCTTTTCTGTGATAACTTTGCAAAGTGAATTAATGAGAAAACATGAACACACTGGTGGTGTGTGTGCATTTGAGATGCTTCAATTTACATCTTCCCCTCATCTTGACTGCTGAAGAATATCTCAAGAAATAGTTGAGGCCTCTGGGAACTTTGCACTGTTTTCCCWTTAGAACTCTTGTGCTTAAACCTAGTAAAAAACAGGGGGTGGGGAGTAGAGGGTAGGAATGTATGACCATGCGGAACTGGAAAAAGATGGAAGAATTATCAAATTGAGACCAGAAATGTGCCAAGCTCTACCATATTTGAGTAATACTTTAGAGATCATGAACTATGACATAATAGAAGGAGWCCAYGTGCAGCACAAGTCTAGAAYTACAGAATCATAGAATGACCTGGGKTGAAAGGGACCTTAATAWTCATTGAGTTCCAGCCCCCTGCCAYGGGCAGGGACACCTTCCACTAGAAYACATTCCTTAGAGCCCCATYCAACTTGGCCATGAACACTTCCAGTGATGGGGCAGCCCCACCTTCTCTGGGAAACCTGTGMCAGGGTCTCACCACYCTCACAAGGAAGAATTTCTTCCTTAAGTGGGAGGTTTTCTTGTTGCCTTTTATGTCCCTGSCCAGATTTAATCTCACCAGGGCGTTGACTCTCTAACCTGATCCCTGTCTGTTTGGRCGGTCTCTCTGTATTCCCCCAGACTGTCCTTGCTTCCCCCCTGTAGGCTTCCCTCTTCTGTTTGATGTTGTCCAGGCGCTCCTGTTCATTCATAAAGGCCTCCTGGTGTTTTTGTCTGGCTTGCTCTTTGTGTATAAAACTCCTTCATTCYTGTGTGATTATTTAGGCATATCTTTCAGGGGAGTTGTCATGGTTCTTACAGATGCCACTCTCTGAAATGTGTAACTGCCCTTGTGTTTTTGCATGATTGATATTTGACAAAACAAAGCTTTCATCTCCCCATCAGTCATTTCTTATGCAGGAAGTGTCATAGAGCAGCAAAGTTTGTGTTTCAGTGTGGTCTTTCTCTAGTTTATGCTTTTATTTCCTATTTGTATTCTACTGCTTAGTGGTTCAGGGTACAATCAACCACCCACAGATAGTAAATCCTTCCTGGCTTAGTATGATCATAACTTTCAGGAAAGATTAAATAAAACTGTTATRTGTTGTATTCCCATTTGAGTATTTCCACCAAAGTATTTCTGTCTTTCCCTGTCTGCCTTCATCTATCTGTGATTGAAGTTGTCTAAATTGAAGGGGAAAGGAAGAAGAGAAACAATCAGGGTAGCTGCCATTTCCAGCTGTTCTGGCAGTCACACAGAGTATAATAATCAAGTCTCCAGTTCGTTTGGAGTCTGAACACAGAGCCTTAATGAAGAACCCTCTTTGCATTCCTGAGATTTTTGAATGAGATGGAGCAGCTCTTCTGTTTGCACTTTTTCTTCCTTTTATGCAACCCACAGAAGCTGAAGAACCTCTAAAGGCAGCAGSCTTTATAAATATATTTTCTTTTCATTATAAATATACTTTCTTGTGAGACCTCAGGTTTTAATTCTTATGCTTCTCATCACTGATTCTTTTTGAGGTGGCAGAGTCCCTTTGCTGCTGTGCAGCTCTTCCTGACACAGCTGAGAAAGTCTTATTTTCAAGAAARCCAGTTATATATCTTGCAGGAGCAGTGATGCCACTCTTCAGGCCAGTGCTGTGTGTCAGTTGCTTCCTTTCTTGTCCAGAAACCAGTTGGGTTTAGGAGCTGGAGAGACTGGACTTGGACAAGGAAGGGGAGGTTTTATGTTTTCCATGTGTTTTTGTGTGTAAGACATTATGGGCTTCATTGAGATGATAGCTAATTTGGAGTATTCCAAATTTGAGAGGTGGTAATTTTTTTTTGGGTTGGTATTTCTGTTTTTTGTTTTTTTTCTTCTTGCTTTCTAAGGGATTTAGTTCTTTCTTATATTCAGTGTTTTTGCAGGTCCAGTTTGGTTTTACATGAGAAGCTCCTTTTCAATTGTGGGGTSACAGGGCCTCATCTAATGTCAGTCTCTCCTACCTACTTCAAGATCAACAATTTTACTAATAATTGCAAGCGTTTGAGTGCAGTCCTTGGCTGAATATTGGCTTAGAGTCATATACAACTTAAACCTGTATTTTTATGTATCCTGTGTTTATAWGGTTAAATGTATCAATTATCACTTTCTTTTTTTTATGTCCTGTGCTGATGGAAACATMCCAGATCCCATAACCCTTTTCAGTGAATGATGCATGTGTTTCATAGATGTGTGTTTTTATCTGAACTCTGAGCTTATATATTTGTGTTTTGTTTTGAGCAATTATCTGAAGAAAGCCTTAATCTTTGACAAATTATTTAAAATTAACTCAGTATTTCATCTTCCCAGAAGCAGAACAAAAAATAACTTCCTGAATTTTCTACTTTCTGTTTTAATTATTAATTCAGAGAGACYAAAAAAACAGATGAGAGTTCTGCAAGTGTATGGATCTAATCAGCATTTCTCAGCAGATTTTTAACCTGGAATTGCATAAGTACATAAAAGACAGCAGAGGGCACTAGCATGGTGCTTATGGTAAAGACATTCAGCTAGCTAATAACCATTGAATTCATTTATATTTTCTTTAACTGTTTGGTGACTGATGTTTATCAGAAATGAATTTTGCAGTGAAGTGTGTGTGGGTTCCCCACCACACTCCCCAACATGCAGCACAGCAGTATCATTTTCACAAACTGCAGCATTGCAGAGGGTCACRGAAAGGTTGGGGTTGGAWGGGGCCTCTGGAGGTCCCCTGGTCCAGCCCTCTGCTCAAGCAGGGCCACCTACAGCTGCCCAGGACCATGTCCTGATGGCWTTTGAGTATTTCCAGGAATGGAAATGTCATAACCTGACTGGGTGACCTGTGCCAGTGCTTTGTCACCCTTACAGTGAAAAAGTGTTTCCCGATGTTCAGAGGGACTCTCCAGTGTTTCAGTTTGTGCCCGTTGCCTCTGGTCCTGTCTCTGGGCACCACTGAAGAGAACCTGGCTCTGTCTTTTGCATTCTCCCTTCAGGGTGGTGCAAAATACAAATTAATAAGATCCCCCTGAGCCTTCTCTGCTCCCAGCTGAACAGTCCCTGCTCTCTCAGCCTCTCCTCATGGCAGAGATGGCCAAGTCTCCTCATCTGYGTAGCCCTTTGCAATATGGCCATGTCTGTCTTGTATTGAGGAGCCCAGAACTGGCCTCACCAATGCTGAGTAGAATGAAATGATCACCTCCCTCAACATTCTAGGAATACTTTYGTCTAATGCAGCCCAGGATACCATTGGTCATCTTTGCTTCACAGGTACTCTGCTGGCTCCTGCTTAGCTTGGTGTCCACCAGGACTCCSAGGGTCTTTTCTTCTGAGCTGCTTTCCAGTTGGCGACCATTAGAATTTTGGGTTGTTCCTTCCCAGGTGCAGGTTCCTTCCCAGGTGCACCTCTCCTAGAATGTTCTGGTGCCTAGGCTTGTTTCTTCCCAGGTTCAGGATTTTGCATTTCTCATTGCTGAACTCTGTGAGGTTCCTGTCAGCCCATTTCTCCAGCTTGTTGACATCACTCTGGATTGCAGCACAGCCCTCTGGTGTATCAGCCACCCCTCTCAGTTTCCCATTGTATATGAAATTTTTCATGCTTGTTTGCATGTTCTTGTTTGTGCAGTGGAGCCCGTTCCATGAAAGGTTCTGTTCCTGAGTGACRTTTCTCTCTTCTGCATCAGATAGTGAAAGTCTTTGGTGTTGTGTTCTGCCGAGTCTGTAGGCAGGATCTGGTAATGATTTGGGATGACTGAGAGCTTTTTCTCTGCCTCAATAAAAGAATAGTTGGAACAGCAGAGTCAGCTGAACAAAGATCTAAAATGGTTTGAAAGAAGCTGTGAATGTTATTTGGGTTTATTCTGTCAGGTAGTGCAATAATTCAGAATTTAGCTACTGAAAATGTTTTRCTTTCCTCCTGAGTTTTTTGGCATAACTGTAGTGGGCTGATGAAACTGTTCATCTTTCTGTCCTTTCTGCTCTTTTAAAAGTTGTATTTGCAACTCACTTCTCAAACTTCTCTTCTCTGTCTCAGTTTTTACTTGGTGCTTTAAGGGCTTTTCTCTAGCATTTGGCTGTTTCAACCTGGGCAGTGCAGAAGAACGGAAAACTGTAAATGCCAMAGACTTCTCTGAAACTGGATGTTCTTCTCCTTCAGTTTAATTTTCCAAAAAAAACCTGAACAGCTGCACACTTTGTATGGATGGTTTGAATTGTTTTAATTCTATTTGGATAAGAAGCTATTATTATAAAGGCCTTTATAATACCTGACCTTCTCCCAGAATATTARTTTATACAATAGCAGTTGTGTTGAGAATTTATTTTTCTACCAGTTATCTTCATTAATAACCTTTTATTCTTAGGAGATATTTGAAAATGAGTTAAAAAATTACATTCAGCTGACATAAATATTTGTTGTGAAGGGGACTGTTGTGGTACATGGGTCTGAGGAGTAGAACTGTCAGTGAGGACAAAGATCACTGCATTTTTTTCCTCCTAATTTTCTTCCAAATTTTGAGAAAAGATAYTGCAAATTAGGCTCATTCTGCTTTCCAGTAGACAGGCTGCTCTGTTCCTAGCATGACTCCMCTGCAGCTGGTGGTGTTTGGCTTTCAAAAGACTGAATTCTCTTCTCTCCCACAAGCAGTTACCCTTGTGTCTGGTTTGACACACACCGAAATTCTGTGTGACCTGAGCTCAAGGTATCCATCTGTAGAGAAAGCTGCTTTGTAGCTCTGTGTGTTGTTCTTCATCTTTACAGAAGAAACTGTACTGACACAGCTKTGCTCACACTGCAAGTGTTGCTGCTTTAACATCCTTGGTATTAAGGCAGCAAAGTTTTCTTTATAAAGCTTATTATTTTTTGTGGACAGCCTCCAGGATGGCTGTTGTATCTTATACAATTTTATATTTTTTGTCTGAAAAAGGAACAAGGGAAAAAACTTATAACCTTACATGTGAAAGARTTAGATTCTGCAATCCAGACACAAATCCTCACTGGCATTAAAGACACCTTTTAGGAGCTGATATATTCCAAACTGCCGGAGGTTTGGAAATATACTGCAACGAGGGGTTCATTAACTTTCCAAAATTGGAGATGTGAAATATGCAAAAGAAAAAACAATCCTGTCTTTGAGGAGGACATTTTCTTTTAAAATATTTCTTACTGCAAACATAAGCTTTATAAAAATTTTTAAAGGAAATGGTAGCTTTGTCAACTGAAATTTTTGAGATCTAACTTTCATTGTAGGATAAGCACAAAGAAAAAATTGTGTTTTGTTCTCTTTTAAATCTAATTGTCTCCCTGTGTCATCATTAAGATAATGGGRAAAATGTAACTTCACAAAGGTTCATTTTCTGTGTCAGAGTTGTCTTTTTTATTTTCATTGTCTTAGATATRTCTCTGAAACATGATAACACGCTTTGTGTTTTTTTGTTGTTTTTTTTTTGCAGATGTTTTATTATGCATTTAGGAAACTGATTCTTAGTTTAGAAGTGGAATCTGAGGTCTGTTAGCTTTAGAAATGGCACATTTTGGGGGCTTTTGTGATCTCACAGTTTGTTTTGTTACATGCATACATTTCAGCACACTCAGTTTTACAAGAATTCAAAAATCAGGTCTGCTTTTAGTTTTTACTGATAATTTTTTAAAGTTTTGTCATTTTGCTGCTTGATTTTCACTATTCCTATTTATAGACTGTAATTGCAGTGAGCTATTTGTGGCTTATCCTGAAAAAGTGTTGCTAAGAATCTGATTCTTGTGGTCTAAATTACAAAATTTGCTGGGCAAAGGTGATACAATTCTGATAGACCTTCCTACACACAAAAATCATGGCTTGAAAACATCACCTGGGATGGTTTGGCCTATGTGTCCATTTTGTCCCTGTGCCTCTGGATTCCTTCAAGAGGTATCAAATGGCATTGCTGGACACATTCTGACCCTCAAAACACACTGGAACACTTTGTCCCTAGCAGGTCATCCCTTTCCTAGGGCAGTTGGGGTAATTGCATTTTTCTTTTTGCATGTTGTGCATCACTGTTTCTTTTATTCAGAGCATTGTCGATTGTGCATTTTTATCTTCTTTGCTTTTTTTTTGCAGTTTCATAGGAGAATTTATAAAGGGATCCCACTTCAGTTCAGAGGGCAAGTCTGGTCTTTGCTGCTTGATGTTCCTAAGATGAAAGAAGAAATGAAAGACTTTTATAATGTGAGTTTGTCRAATTTCCACTTAATTAAAAAATATCAGATAGTAAAACTACAGGCTTTATTAAGCTTTTGCTGTTATGCAGTGTTAAAAWAATAAATTAGAAATTACATTGCACTCTATTGCTTGTTTTAGCTTGGAAAAAGGCTGTGTGTTTAAAATCTAAGCTGAGTCTCAGTAGATGAGGAATCTTATGAAAGAAGATTGGTGTTTGTATTGGTGTTACCTAAATTTTAGTGTCCGTTGTCTTCATCCTATTTCTTGCTCTTTGGTCTAATGGCCGCTCTTTCTAACTATTATATGTTGTTTAAGTTCCTAAGTAAGACTAGTGGGAGATCCAAAGGAGGTAAAATAGAGTTAGTGTATAATGAATACTGAAGAATGTAGTTGTGGGAAAGAATGCAGAGTAAAATTAGAAGTGTATAAAAATAGGTGAAATAATCCTCAGAAATTATTAAAGTCATCTAATGCTCAGTGCAAAACAAAGAAGTGTTTGTAGTTTGGATACAGAAGTAGAAAGTTTCTTCCATCGTTATCTGATTTGTTTATTTGTGATAAAMTCATCTTGCTGCTCTCTATTTTCCTATTTCCTGGAGTGATGTTAACACTGCACATTGCAAGTGTCACTTACAAGCTGCACACCCTAAATTTAGAAGAATAATACACGTTTATTGTAGGTCAAAGAGCTTCTTTCAGTTCTCTTTGMATGGGAAAGACCAGTTCTTAACCTTCTGTCCTTCCTGTTTCTCAAACTTTCRGTACCTTCCTGTTCTCTCACATGTGGAGCTGCCATGATGGCAAGRGCCCAGGGTGCTTCTTTTCCTTGCTTTGATTCCATCAAATGATAGGCATTGGGTCCTCATGCTACCTGAAAACTAGAAATTTTCTCTGCTGCTTTTCTGTCTGGGGGACAAATCTRGGTGTTGTTAGTTTGTATTGTACTKAAAGATGCTTGTAGCTGRGAYTGTGGWTAGTGTTGTGTTGGTTCAATGAYTTACAAGTAATTCCTCAGGTGCCTAAAGYTTCTGGTTGTGTTCAACACACTTGATGCATGTTATTGTTCCCTGCTTGATCCCTTTGTTATTATTATTTTTGTCCTTAGTCTTATTTTCTTGCAACCAGGATCCATAAAATTTTGCCTTTTGATTTTTTTGTGGTATTTTCTGATAGTTAGATGTAGTGTTTTGAAAATACCATATTGAATCCATGGTCTTGTGCACTCAACTTTTGGGGACAGAAGTGGGAATAAATGAGTGTCAAGAGAAAATTACTRTAAGTGCAAAAAATAAGGTGTCAGTCTAAACCTGTGCAGACTTCCTAAGTATTCAATTACAAAAATGGATTTAATTATAAAACACTAAAGCAAGTGCTAAAGTACACATATTGTACAGCTAAATTGGATTAGAACAGAAAGACAGAGGAAATTACTAGAGAAATGGCCATTATCTATACTTAGATAATAACTGGCAGCTATGTAGCTATTACTTCYGCTAGAGAAAAGATGGGAAATGTATAAAAACAGCACTAAATCATTTTCTTAAAGTCTAGTCTAGAGCCCTTGCATCTCAAGTTCTTGTTCCTGAGTAGTAAAATAATTTTCTGTCTTTCTCTGATGCTGTGCCTGCCTGAGAAACAGCAGTAAGAAATTTGAAATGCTGAAACAGCTTTAAATATGGATAGTGAATGATGTGTSAAAAAGAAGTGTATTATGGGATTGGTCTTTCTGCATCTTTACTCTKTGGCTGTTTCTGACTCAYAGAATTTGTACATATATATGCTTMTTTKTAAAATTAAAGCTTGAGAGTTGCTRTTCTGTATTGTTTTAAGTCATGTGAGGGCAATTGCTTTGACAGAGGCATATAGTCAAGAAAGTTTCTGCTATTTTAGAGTTCACAATTTTGAACTTAATTTCTGTTCTTTACTSTGTTCCTAGAAATTGAAGTGTCAAGCACGAGGGTCTTCACCAGATATTCGGCAAATTGACCTTGATGTTAACCGGACGTACAGAGACCACATCATGTTTCGGGACAGATACGGTGTAAAGTAAGTAAACTCGCCTCTTCCTCAAGATTTTAGCCTTCCTTTGGGTTTTATATTCTCCTTCTTCTAGTATCTAATTCACAACCAAATAAAGCAGTTTATTGTATGTGAGCATTTAATTATTTACAACTGTAAYGCCATAATGCTTTTGGATTTCTTATAAATGTTTTGTTTTGTTGTTTTTTGCTGCCACTTGATGAGGAATATTAGGCAGCTGTCATCTTTAAAAATGCTTAATAGTGAAAAAAGTGGGGATACAAACATCAGTATTGTTGCTTGCTTGCAGCATCAGCACCCTGCTGAGAAGAGGGTATTTTTTTCCCTTCTGTTTCTGTATTAGTTAGGTTTTTAATCTCCTTTTCTTGCCAAGGCAGATTTTATGGTAGTCTGCTGTTCTCAGAAAGCAGTGCTTAGAGATGTGGACTTCAATGTGGTAATAAAAGAAGCATTTTCCTATGTTATTATTCTAGATATTTTGTGGAAAAATTCTATATCAGAGKAATTTCTCTGATGGCTTTAAGGAAGGAGCACAGAGCAGAGATTCCCGAGCTAAGGCTGTTCTGTGCAGCCAGTGCAATTCAGATCCATTTGTGCAGGGCTGTCAGTGCCTGTGCTGCTCAGGCCTCTCTTCGTTCTGTGCACACAGTTTAGATGTCAGCAGAAGCTCGTTGCTTCATCAGTTCAGGGTTAACACAAGCAGAGCCAGCTCCTGTCCCTGTTGTTGTTGTAACCATGCCCTCAGAATCCACAGGAAAGCCTTTGGCTGCCTAAAGCAATTTCACACTTGGAATAGGTCTTGGAATTACTGTACATATATTATGCATTTCCAGCAATGCCTCAATGAAAAATTCAGAAATCATTTCACATAGCAGTGAAATAAAGTCCCCTGGGTAAGTCAATAGCTTGTTTGACTTTTAAGTAGACTCKCTGTCTTTGCAGGTTCATTCTTTTACATGTCTTTAGTGCTACCATCTAGTCTAAATAATACTAAAATCACTATTATTCTGTGTATATTACTGTGAATGATATTGAGTTCCTATGCTGAGTTTCATATGGTCAGCTGAGGATACAGGAGGTTCCTGTGTACATTGGGGACCTGTTAGTTTGTTCTTGTGAAATAAGGCCTCCAGCTTAATGTCTAGTACTTTGTTACAATTTCCTTTGGTTTCTGAAGTAATAATTCAGAAACTGAATCCAGTAACTATTTCCTTTGGCCTCTGAAGAATGACTAAACCTCAGTTCTGCAAGAGGATAAACCAAAATGCCACAATGTAGATGTTTTGATAAAATTCCCCAAATATAAATCCTCTTCCCGAAAGAAAATATGCACCTTTTGGCTTATGCTTTCTTTTTTTTAGCCTACTAATATCTCTTTCCATTATTGATTAGTAACATGGAAAAAATGTCACTGGACAGAGAAAGGACAGTATACAAAACTCAGCAGTTAAATTTTAGCAGTTCTACTTTTAGATGAAAGTAGGCATACAGGTATCCAGATTTTCTTGTGAAGAGATGACAAAATGTAGCTGTGAGTTTAAAAGTTCTTTATCAGAGCTCTCCACCATTACTTTCATATACCACTTTGAAAGAGCAGAGCTGTGCTGGTTGGTTTGTTGTTTGTGGTTTTTTTGTCTGGCTACCTTCACAAGTTAGACTGTTTTAGAGAAAGCAAAGGACCTTTGCAAAGCTCTTTGTAATTCTAACTCTGAAGCACAGACATATCAGTAGAGGACTGAGCACRGGATGCAAAAACAGAGTTAATATTGTTTTCTTCAGTTTGACAGTAGCAGTCAGTAGAGCAAATTTTAATTTTGGTGCCAAGATTAAGACACCTTTGTGGCTGCTTTGTGTATTTCACATCTTCATTTCTACATCTCTGTTTGGAATCAGTAACAGCTGTTAGTGATTCTGCAAGCACAGAAATCAGGTTTAGGGCATTTACATTTTGGCATTCAGAATAAATCAGTGTTTGAAATGTCACCTGTGCAATGTTTCACTTTACCTGTCTGTAAAAATGATGATGTGCCACCACTCTCTTCTAAAATATTATTGCTATTTTTTGAAACATTTCAAAATGTAAAACATCATAAAGGTGCTAATTATGAAATCAACTTGAAATCAGAAGCACTTATCGTTGTGAAATGTGGTTTATCCTGTTCTTTAGTGCTAGATAAGCTAAATTGGGAAAGCGTGTTTACAAAATACAGTTCACTACATCTATGTTTTTCTATTTTTACAAATGACACTATTATATTTTTGTCATTTTCTGCTCTTATTTCTCCAGGCAACAATCTTTGTTCCATGTTTTAGCGGCATATTCCATATATAATACGGTAAGTCATGTACCTTCACACTTAAATTTGGTTTCTCTGAATGTGCTGTAAGATAATAACTTGCATTTCTATCTTTTTCCCCCCAAAAAAACCAACATACATTTCAGAGACCTTTGGAAGTACACAGAAATTAAATTATTTGTTGACATGTTTKGAGCTAAGTTAAAATAAAGCATCTCAATTATTGAGTTTTTTATTGGACAGACTGAACTGTTCTTGTACTTTGGCTGAAGCCAAGGATTCTGTCTAATRAGAATAATGAATTTGTGTTGTACTGGAGTGTTATGGGACTGATCTTTCCACTCATTATATTATCTGCCTCCCTTTCATTTGAGTGATGGGAGGAAGAGACTGCAGAAAGATTCATATTGCAGTCCACAGGTGTATTTCAAAACCTGAAAAGGTTCTAAAAATTTGAAATTAGTTTAAAAGATTGCATCTTCTTTACRTAAGCCCTTGGTCTTGGCTGCAGTCCTGGATGGGGATTTATTAGAGTGGGGTTTCCAGACTGTATCATAAGGGTTAGAAGCTTATGTATTTTGTAATGTCTTTTGCCTGTRTGCTAAAAATAGAAACAGAATTGCCATCATGTCCACATTTAACTGTGGTTTTAAAGTACTGTCCCTTCATTCCTTTCCCCATTTTGAGCATTTCTGTATGTCTTCCATTTTATATCCATCAACAACTCCCTAGAAGTCAATATAAAATACCTTAATTTTAGAAGAGGAAAGTGAAGTTAAGCAGTTGCTTGAATTAAATACTGGTTTGTTTGGATTTTTTCAAAGTTCTAGGAAATGTAACCTTTCTGTCTGACCTTTATATACTCCTGTAAAATATTAGACTAGTATTTTCAAGTTGCAATGTTTAAAATCARCCATTAAAGTGTAATGATGAGAATATTACAGTGAAGTTTTTATTTTGAGCTTCTGTTRCTGTATATTTCCTCTTAAAGTGTAGCAGTTCTTATGCCTTGGTTTTATCTCTAGAACAAAGTTGTCCTAAGAACCTGTAAACCTGAGAAAACTTACTCAACAAATAAGTCATTGTCCTTACAAATACTTTATTGATGGGGTYATCTGAGCAGCTGAATGATAGTGACAGCTGGTTCCTGCCATAAAATTCAAAATTAATAGCAGAGGAAATACTTGAGTTCAGTTTTGGAACTATAAAAATTTTCTTTGGGTTTATTATAGTTGCTTGCAATTGGACTGCTGAACTTGAGCAAGTTTATAGTTATAGGACATTCTTGAAAAATCCTGTGTTTATCAGATGGTGCCCTGASTGTAAACCAAAGCAAAACCAGATACTCTTCCCCTCCAAATTATAACTAAATGGGAAACACATCCATTGGACAATAAGATGATACCGTAACTTGAAAATATTAGTACTGATCAAGGATTTTGTTTATCAGTAGTGAATTCTAATGAACAATCAGTACTTCAGGGTGCTTTTCAGTTGGAGAGTTGTGCATCATCCTTTCTATCAATATTTTTAATGTTTAAATATGAAGTGTGTTTGGTGGGAAGCTTTGCCATCAGAACAGGCATCATATTTCCTCCACTAACTCAAGGAAAAGCTAAAAGCTTATAACTGTAAGGCTTTGTTTCCAGCATTTTAATATTTCCCCTGTATGATTTTCAGGAAGTTGGATACTGTCAGGGAATGAGCCAGATCACAGCTTTGCTCCTGATGTACATGAATGAAGAAGATGCCTTCTGGGCCTTGGTGAAACTCCTCTCTGGTCCAAAGCACGCTATGCATGGTATGGAGTTCCATATCAGTGTATTTAGGTTTCAACCTGCCCTATTTAAGCTGTAAATGATTTGAAAATGGAACTATGGTGTTCTGATTGGTCAACAATAAGACATAACGGGAACTTTATACTTGGGGGATGTATTGGATGTTACTGGAGCTCTCATCCATAAGAGTAAGTAGTGGTTTTTATATGTGATATCTTTCAAATAGTTCTTAATGAAAATCATAGGGTTTTCTCCTCTCTTATTCTCTCAGGGAATGTAACCAATTGAAAACTGGTTATGTAGACATCTATATAGTAATAAAATAGGAGTGGAAACTTAATACAGAATGTGTTAAATAATATTGCAGCAGTGCTATCATTTGGCAGGACTCTACAGTAAAAAAATGGACTTGTGTCTAGGCATGAACTTCATGTTTCTCAGTTTTTTATCTCTGCCTCACACAGAATTTCCTGCCCTCTGGTAATGTTGCTCTCATGTTATTGGTAGTTCTCTCTCTCCATGCCAGATTTAGTGTGATCTATGCATATTCCATGGCTATTGGTATGAAACAAATCCAGGAATTCCAGAATCTTTGTGATGTTACAGTTGTAGTGATTCACAAAAGCTGTGGTTCTTGGAAATCTGTAAAAATAAATGTCATCCAGAACTTGGACTTTTTAGCCAATTTCCAACAAGCTCTAGCTGCTTTTCCCTGCTGAAGAATTTCTCATTCTATGATACCTTCCTTCCCTGGATGTTCTCCACCCCCAAAACAAAGGGGTAGTTTGTTATTTTGTTGGTTTGCACAATGGTAACACAGACTAAAAGCATCTTACAAAAAACATTTGTAGATTTCGTAATTATCCAAACCTGTGCAACTGCAAATGTGTAGAATATTGAGCTCCTCAAATCTCACAGAAAATTCTCTGTGTTTTGGGGGAAGTAAGTCAAAACCAGCTCCTTATTTACCAAGTGGTGTGCCTGACGAACAAGATGTGTGGACAAGAGGGTGAACACAGGCAGATGTATTGTTTGAGATGTTGCAGACCTCCCTCTTTCCCTCCTTTACTCCTGTCACACACCTGTCAAGTGATGTGAGAGAGAAGGAGGGAGCTCTGAGTAGCCAAGGCTTGATGAGCTCCTCCACAGGGCATATGAACCATCGTGCCACAGGTTTATACACAGTGAAACTGTCTTGGCAACATCTGTTAGGCAAGTTTGCATTTATAGATAATGCTGACACAACTAGAGTTACAACTCAGGTCTTCCCAATTCATCATTTGTTAAATATTGCCAGCTAGTCTTAGGTGCTGCTTTCAGCAGTTGGRCCAGATAATCTCCAGAARTCCYRTCYAGCCTGGATTTCCTGTGATTCTAAGAATGTATTTGTTTTAAATCAGTGTATGTCACTGTGCATTTGTAAATATCACTGTAGATTCTGGAAAGAAAASTTTTAAACTGATTYWACTGRTACCATRTAACAGTTTGCACTTTCTGTGTTYTTCTTTGGGGAAAGTAGCTTAAAGYACTGTTTGTCAACTCTTTAAAGCTCAAGTAATTGAAATKCTAAATTACCAATATCCATGAAGAAAAACTTYTATAATTTCACTTGATGCCACAGGYCATCAGATGGCTCTCTGAAATGRGCATTTSCCTATGGAAATTATGGGTGTGGGCTGAGTAATTCAATTAGAATCATATTGGCATGAGTCGGATGGTTAAAAGTTTCTCCCCACAGACAAGGTTTCTAATGTGATTTCACTTCTACCTGTGATTTGGCAACCTGGAATACTTTCTGGGTGCAGCCCACTAGCCAGACTAATTTTGAGTATAACACCACTTGAAATCAAGAGATGAATTTGGCCTCTGGTATTTCATRCTGTATGGATGATGTGAAGTCTCTAAATCATAAAATACAGGTTTCTGACCCTGAAAATTACCTGCTTTTTTGGAAACTCTTTCCATTGATCTTTCTACAGTCTTAAAAATTCAAGATAATGAGTTGATGTATGTAAATGTGAAAGAGCAACCTTCCATGGAAAAAGTGCCTTTATTGTTATTGTTGATAGCTAATTAGCTTTGATGTAGTCATTCACTGTTTACAGTAAGAAAAATGCTAAAAGCCTTGCCTGTGTTATTGAGATTTGCTAATATGCCACCTGACATTTAAGTATTGTAGAATTTGCATTTGTATCCATGAAATACTAAATCTGTGTGAATCTGAGGTGGTAAATCTTGTATTTTAGTGACTATGCACTGAATTACACAATTGGTAGCTAGAAAGACTTTTCCTTTTTGGTTTGGAGCTACTGTGGATCCGTACTTGTTCCTCCAGTTTTCATACTGCTTAAAAGATACTGGGGTTTTTTTAATAACCTTTTAATCCTAAGAATGTGGAACTGCTACACTAGATCTGTCTGTGATTCTTGCCTCGCATTATGTGTTTGCTCTGAGCCTTTTTTCAGCTGTGCTTGATATCTCAGGTGGAAGGGGATCTTAGAGCTTTCCTTTTCCATGTATGAGCACTAAAACTATTAGATGGTTTTTATGTGCCCTTTGTTTCAGTTGTGTGAGCTYACACTCTTTAGTGAGTGTACATACATACTTTTATTAGTATGTAATCATGATATTTGTTGTGCTAGAATATCCCTCTTGTCTTTTGAATGATCTTTTCTTCAATGCAAACAGCTCTAGTAGATGCCTGTGCTGTTGGCCCTGCTCTCATGAATTTTCTGGGCTATAATTTCAATTTTAGAGGGTGTAGGTCGGGATTCTTTGTTTTGGTTTTTTTTGAAAGAATAATTACTAATGTGGTTTCCACGTGATCTTGTATTGGATTGACTAATGTAGGACTGATGGACCTGCTGTCATTTGTCATTCTAATCTAATAATAGTCACTAAGGGAATGCATTGATTGTAGCTATTTAGGCAGGAGTATGTACAGATCTGTATAGAGACATCAAAATACAGTTATGAATATCTGTTTAGGTCTAGTGGTCTTACAGAAGGATAATGCTCTTGCAGCCTTAATGCCTTTTTTAATGTCATTTTTATACTACAAACACCTGTTAAATGRTCAACTTCTTTTCTTAGGTTTTTTTATTCCTGGTTTTCCAAAACTGATGAGGTTTCAGGAACATCATGACAAAATACTGAAGAAATTTTTGTCCAAACTTAAGCAGCATTTGGTAAGTATTTAATTCACAATACAAGCAATGCTAATTTACAGCTTTCTACCTTGTTTTTACCTTGAACCCACTAGATCAAGAATACTCAAACCTCAGGAAAAAAATGCAAATCTTTAAGAGACAGAAGTGYTGATGTTTTCATTATAGGCAAAGTTATGGTGCACCTTGGCAGAGTTGTGATAAAATTGATTTCTAAGAGTTAGTAATTTGAGTGTCCTGGGATCTCTGAGTTATGGACAGTGTGTGGTTCTTCTATTTGGCCTTGTGTGAGCTGCTGGTAAAGCATTTTATCAAGGGTTTTTGTATGTTTAGTTTTGTGGTTCATCCCTGGACAGTGGTGACTTTATGACCAACCAGTTTTAATCTCTGTTTAAAAAACAACCTTGTAAGAGGGGTTAATGGTCCTATTAAAACACTTCTATTTTCATGAAGCTAAATGTGGAGTTTTACCTCTTCTAATGCTCTTAAATAGAAAATAATAGGCCTTTTTTTCTTCTAATGTTTCTAACCCTACCCCTGTCCCAAGAACATGATAAAAGTCTAGAATGTATTAATACTTCTGCATCTCCAAGTGTGTGTTCTTCAGGCGGTGAAATTGATGAAGAAGAACTATAAAAGACAGAAATTTCTTTTTTTTTTTTGAATGAAATAACAATGTCTTCTGTGTAGTTTAATTAATTATTTAGGGTGACTATTGAGTAGATTGGCCTCAAGGGGAAAATATTTTTCCATGGACAGTGCAAGGCATTACTTGGAWTTTTGAAAGTATTTTTCAACATCCATGTTGTTTGCAGGACTCCCAGGATATGCCCACCAGCTTTTACACAACCAAGTGGTTTTTCCAGTGTTTTCTTGATCGTGTGAGTATGTTTTTCTTTCTGTTGCTGTTTTTAATTGTGACTTGAGGCAGACTTTTCACAGCATTGCCTGATTCTGTCATTGCAGACTCCCTTTACTTTAAGCCTCAGGATATGGGATATCTACATACTTGAAGGAGAGCGGATTCTCACTGCTATGTCTTACACAATTCTGAAACTGCACAGAAGTAAGAAATCTCTCAAATGTTTGAAACTTGATCAGAGTTTTGTTTTAGTTTAGTTATTTTTGTGTAGTTTGACCTTAATGTGTGAAAGTCTTGGTTTCTCATTTGCTTTATGCTGCTGAAGTATTTTATATTCCTTATGCATAAAAAGTTAAAAATCTTTGCTTTGTTAATGTGTGTGTGTTGTGGGTTGACCTTGGCTGGATCCAGATGCCCACGAAGCTGCTCTATTCCTCCTCAGCAGAATTGGGGGAAGGAGAAAATGAGGGACCTTTCTGGACAGCAGTGCACAGCACAGCACTGTAAGGGCAGCTGTGGGGAAAATTAACTCMACCTCAGCTGGGCCCAGTGCAGTGTGATTGTCAAAGAGAATTATTTATTAGAATAAGAAGATTATTTGGACCTGAAATGAGTTGTATTGCTGACTAAACAGCGGGGAAAAGTGTGATAGTTTTATGRTCTGGAAATGGCTTGTTAGCCCCCACAGTATTTAAATTAATTGAAAAAGCACACAAAAATCCAGAGTGTGCCACTAAATSCTGAATATCTACCAGCAAATACCTCAACAATGACGAATCACTAGTCTGTGTCTCTTTGTACCATTGTTTGTCCAAGAATGTRATTAAAATCTAGAATTTGTGTAGTCTGCCTGTGTGACCTTCTCCTTTATCTCTTGAWTCTGGGCAAAGTAAAATTTGAGATTTTGACTAGAATTGTAAAGTATTTATGCTTGGTTCCTCAAAGTGACATAGCATCCTGAATTCCAAAGGACCCAAAATGCTTTTGAGGGTGGATGTTGTCTTCTGAAGAGACTTGATCATTTTTTAGGATCATACCTTGTAGCTCGAATTTGAGACATTTAGTGTGGGACTTTGCTTTTCTGAGTGAAGTATTTGACTCTACARAAATGCAGAGGTCTGCCTGGGGCCTGCAGAATTGATGTCATAATTTCCTTGCTAGTTTATCCTGCTTGARCTGTGGTGATGCTACCTCACTATGTCACTGGGGTGTTCTCATTAGTTTGTTCATGAAGTGCTTTAAAARCTCAAAAAGGTTATGTTTTATGTTATTGCACTTGAGAAAGCTAAACATTTAGAGGCAAATCATTAGGCTTAGCATTTTGGGCATCTTTTTTTTTATTCGCCGATAGATATCTACTTGGTTTTCTTTTTTTTTTCTTTTTTTAATTCACCACTCTTTTAATGGGAAGACCTGAGGAAAAAGTCTGAGTGTGGATTTGCTTGCTTAGCAAGTACACAGCAACTTCCTCCGTGATCAAACACAGAGAGGCCCTCACGGCAACAGAGCAGATGAGAGGGCTGGCAGGAGACAGATTCTGATTTGTTTTCCAGTTTCTTGTCTACCCTCAAAAACATGGATGGTATAGCTATCCAGTCAAAGTGTCATTGTGAAATACATGCCAAGAGCATTTTTATTACARCACCAAAACATTTTTTAATGGTTTCTGTATTGAAATGATACATTCTGAAACTTTTGATGACATACAGATGATTAAAAAAGCTACATAGGTATGCAGTTGCAGCTTGGCAATCCACATGGCCTTACTGCTGCGTAAAAAGGGAAAGAAAAATAATCTGATGACTGTAAAATGACTTTCAAAATAYGACCTGAATTTTCAGAGAGCCTGAAGCAATGGTTCTGAAGTGTGAACTGCCATCATAATTTCATATGGAGTTAATTCAGTTGTGAAYGAGGGTACTGTAAACAGCGATTTTAAAAAATGTTTTTCTGCTTTTCAGAGCTCCTAATAAGAGAGATGATAAATGCTGTACAGATGAACAGTCGTGTTTGTAAGTTAAGGATTCAGGCTGGCAAATAAAGACCTGAAGCTGTTGGCCATGAGAAGGCTGAAAGAGAGTGCCTTGTAGTTAGTTTTCTGAAGATGCCCCTCTTTGCAAAAYACTGTCTTAAGTAGAGAATGATGTGTAGAAAGGATTTCCATGGTGACTTGCAAGTGAATWTTTAATGCATTTTTATATCTCTGGTGTAGAAATCTGTTATCTGCCTAATTAACAAGTGTTTTTCATTTTACTTTGAAAACAAAAGCACCTAATGACTAAAGTACAGTTTTGAGTGTTCATTATCAAGATATCTTAATGTATAATGTAATGTTTTCTCCTTATGTAGAGCATCTGATGAAATTACAAATGGAAGAGCTTGTAGAATTTCTGCAGGAGTCTTTATCCAAGGATTTCTTCTATGAAGACGACTTTGTAATAGAGCAGCTCCAAAATTCTATATCAGAATTGAAACGAGCAAAGCTGGATTTACCAGTAGCTGGTAAGAAMTATGCACATATGCAGATTTAGATATTTGGAGCTATTCACACATTGTTAATTTTTTAAATGTTAATTCATGCTGTTGAAAACTGTGCAGACATTTTCCTCTTCATCACTGCATAGATTTGGAGTGTTTTTACCCAAAAATAATTTACAGTGTAAAATCAGCACTTTTCCTGTGATTAATTTCTTCTTCTTTTGGTGTTTTGTTTACTGGTTTTAAGCTAATGGCAAAAATACCCTGTTCTTGTAATTCTATTAACTTGAATTTGTAGAATCTTTCAGATAGAGGATCAAAATAAAGGTTTCAAAGTGTTTGCAACACTTAATTGTCTGAGAACCCAGACTGTTTTGTAGATTGATTASATGTGGACTAAATTTCAGGTCAAATAGCTTCCTCAGTCAGTCAAATCCAGACTTTTAATTTTTTGCAAGTGATAGACGTGCTGGGTGTTTAATGGGTTAATTTTCTATGTTTCTTCTTAGCTTTTGTGCTTTTTGGTTGCAGTCAAGAGATGGTTGTTTCATGTGTTCCTACTTATAAAATGTATAGAATCACTTCTTCCTCTTAAGAGTCTGTTCTCTTCTATCCCTACCTMCACAGTCCTTAATTAGATATTTTCTTGTGATTATGCAGAGTCCTTTTACTTTATCCTTGCTAATTGTAGAAAAGTACGTGAGAAAATGTTTTTTAAAAAAAATTAGACATGGCAGAAATTACCTTAAAGTAACTTCATTAAGTTGCTGTGGTTAGCTTTCAGAAGTTAAGAAGTGTCAGAATAAAGGTTTCCTGTGTAGTGTTGTTGTGATAATTTATTCTTTCATTAATGAACTTAATTTTTTTGTTTCTGTAGACATTTATTAGATGCAGTATTGGTCTGTGTCAGAAGTACTCATTACAAATAAATACCTGTTTCATCTGGTTCTTCAGYGAATCTGTTCCTGTGGAGTACTAACACTTTTTGTACACTTGTTTCTTATCATTTTGGTTCTTGTCAGTTTTCCATTTCTCTTGCTCCCTATTGCTGTGTTTTGCTCTCTTCCTGAGTTTCTGTACAATATATTCAGCAGACTTTCTTCCACCCACGATAGGTCTAAGTCTAGTTTTTGCTCCTGTCTTTTCATCTGTTGCTTCTCCCTTCTCACCACAGCATTTCCATTCTACCTCCTCTTCATTCTTTTTCTACAAGTTAGGTTTCAGTCTTGACTTTCTCTTCAGAAGTTGCTCTTTCTGTCCCAGCTCTTCTACCAATACGAGCAACTGCATCCTTTAACATCAGTTCCACACCACCATGTTAAAGGAGATAGATCACAGGAGTCCTGTCTCTTAAATCTTAAATGCAGAATTCTCCATGGTTGTGTTTGARCCGTGAGGGAGTTATCCCAACAACTTCAGTTGTTTGCAGATGWATAGAATTTTTGTGGATGTGGTAAAGTAAATTTCATCAGTGAAAAGTTCTTTGTTTCCAGTTGAAACGGTGGTAGCTGAAGAATTGGGGAAGATTTTTGCAGTTTGCTACTTGATGGAGTTAATGTATCTTCCAGCCTAGAAAATTCCATACTTGTAAGTCATGTTGAGATTTTCTGTGGMAAATGCAGAATTTACCASACACTTTGTTGATGGAAAAGGCAGAAAGTCTGTTCCTAACTTACTTATGTTTTAAGRCCTTTGTTTTGGTAGAACATAAAATGCCTACAAGTGAAAGTTTGTTCGAGAATGCTCTGGATTTTCATAGAAAATTCAAAGGGGCTTTAGGTGACTTAAGTGTCACCCACCTTGTGACAGAATGTGAGACTCAAGGAGTCTTCTCTTGTGGCTACCAACAGCAAAGGATGGTGAGTGTGTCTCCTTGCTGGGACCCTGGCAGTGGGATGCAGTTGTTTCATTTCATGCTGTGCACACTTTAGGTGTAGCTACTGATACTGTGAGCTGACAGGATGCCAATGGTTTTTGAAGTACTTTGGTTCTTCATTTTGGTAGCTAAAGGCAACATCARTAACAAAATGTCTTCAGTGTGTTGGGTTTCTCCCCCCTCAATATGAATGAGGGAGGTTTGATTTTAAAGTAGGAAGAGCAAAGCCCAAGTCTAGTGTATTTTGGTGCTGGAATTGAGCTTTTTCATTTTTTCTTTCAAAGTAGCCTGGGAAAGCCTTTCTGTGTGGTATGTTTTTCCTAGAGGTAAAAGGGAACATAACTTAACCTTTCACAKAATAAAAATAAAATGCCTTCATCCTAGTYCYTGGGAATCTAGATGATTTGTGTGCTCTTATCTGTATTTGAGTGAGGTTGCCTCATTTGTTCTTCTTACAAATTTCACGAGCCTTTATTTTTATTTTTTTTAAGTTTTCCCATGCTTTTAATTTTGGTTTATCAATCCATCTTCAAGCAATATTCTTTTACCAGTTCTAAGCCTTCTCTAGACATTCAGCTTTGCTYGTGTTGTGGCAGGTTGATCYTGATRGGACACCAGCTGGRCAGGGAAGAGAAAATACAACAAAAGRYTCTTTGATCCACTGCTCTGGATCAGGATCAGAAAAGGGAGAGATCACTCAGCAATTGCCATCATGAGCAGAACAGACTTGASTTGAAGAAATTAAKTGAATTTATTATCAATCAAATCGGAGTCAGAAAGTGAGAAATAAAATCTTACTAAAAACCTCATCCCCCTTCCCTTTTTCCTGGGTTCAGCTTCACTCCCCTTTTTTTTTTTTCCTACCTCCTCCCCAGTGGCACAGGGGGATGGGGAATTAGGGATGTGATCAGTTCCTCCTATGTTGTTTCTGTCACTTCTCTCTCCAAAAGGTGAGGACTCCTCACACTCTTCTCTCCCACAGGCTGCCAAAACCTGCCCATACAAACCCCATCCAAATGCCTGGCTCTACTGTCTTTACTTACCTTGAGTTTCACTGCTTTTCTTCTTATTTCATCTAAGACTATTATATGTCATGTGGACACAAAAAATACCAGTCTGTTCATTTAAATATTCACTGTAGCCTGAGAAAATAATGTTTATTTTAGTTTTCTCAGCTGAAATCAAAGCACTGCTTCCTATCTTGTACCTTTCTTTTCACTGAGCAAGAATTACACCTTTTAAAACTAAAGTAAAAATGCATGTTAGGAAAATGAAAAAAAAAAAAAATCTTCATCTTGCAGTTGCATCAGTATCAGTCATCCAGGAATAGCAGTGAGCTAATTAAGCTCAGTGGAATTTTCCATCTGGCATCCTTTGTTAGGCTGTATAGATTTTCCTGCCCTAGTAGGGTAAGCTGCAGTAGGATATTAAAAGATGTAATAACTTTCGTGTTACTTGCAAGTGGATGTCTGTTTATGTCTGATGTAGCTCTCTCTGGCTCACTTCCTTCATGGCTTCTCTCAGTGAATTAAGGAGCTCCTTGTTCCCTTCAGAGCAGAGAAAGAAGGGACTTGTTTAACATTTTCTCTGATAAAGCCCTCAGCTGGGCTGTTTAAGGGGATCTTACTAATGTTGAGTGTCAGTAGKTGGATTGTTTTGCATAAAGAAGACCATGGCTTTTTCCTACTCTGTCCTACTTTCTGRTTGGGTGCTGACCAGTTTTGGAGGCTGACCAGCCTCCAGAGGGTGGCTTGCACCCTCAGTGCTGTCCCTACAACCCAAGAATAGGCATCCCTCTCTCCCAGTGACTCTGGAGACTGGGCTGCGTGGGTAAGCACACCTCTTACTGGGAAGCTGTGGTTGTTGAGCCCTGGGAGAAGTGGGGCTGTGACAGCTGTATACAGAAACTATCCTTGAAGGTACTTCTCTGACATACCCTCAAAATAAGAAAAGGCATTTGGTATTTTCTGGATTGCCTGGAATGTGCTGAAGGGTGCCCACAACATGGCTGGTTCTTGAACAACACTCTCACCTAAATCTGTGTGACTTTACACAGAGCCAGATCCAGTRGAGATKCAACAATCTCTTCCTTAATTCAAGRATGTTGTTAAGACMATAAYGAGAAGAATTTTATTGGCATACACCATTGATTTCCAAAATTCCTCAATGCAAATTCTTTCCTTGTCTGTTATTTAAAACAGCAGCTAAATTCTATAAAWGCTCACAAGATACGGATAGAATTTGCAGCTTTGCTGTAATTTTTTCCTTTAGGACTACATGAATAATTCAATGCTTAATAAAAAATATTTATATATGGATAGATTTTTATAGTGTCTGACTTTAATAAACAGAAGTGCTTASCAGTGAAAGTTTCATATTAAAAAGATGTTGCTGAAAATAGTTTATTAATCCAGTACTTTGTAAACAAGACAGGCTTGAAGCCCCCTCAGGTCTGTTCTTGAGACAGTTTCTCACCTGTGTTTTAATATAAGGTGTCCTGAAAAGGGAGGGCAGAGRGGTTCTGGGTTGGATTTTTATGACTGGAGGTTTAATAGACTTTACAGCAGCTGAGAAGGCCTGAAATTAAAGATAAAGGTCTTGTACCTTATTTTTAAAACAATATTGGCAAATCTGGAATCTGCCCGAGTCCTTGCGGTTAACAYCAGCTTTAAACTCCAGTTCTTTGTAGTTTTTCCAATCTTTTCTGCATTCAGGGAAAACTAGCGAAGTTTGAACCTTGCATTTGCCATAAATTTTAAAATGTTTATCTGATATTTATATTTGATGTTATATTTTATTAAAGTTCTTATCAGTATCTTTTATTCAATTATCTATTTTACATAAGTCATCAGTGATCGTGCAATAATGTATACTACCTTAGTAATCTATTAAATAATGTCTGTTCTCTCCTGTTAGTGAGCCTTTTGACAGCCAAAATAATAGAAATATGTAAATCAGCTGGACTTTCCTGTTTCTGATGGTGTCTTTCTTTTGGTTGTGTTTTGTTTCAGAGGAATTTTGGATTTTTCTCTTGTACTTCAAGAATACCCAAGTAGCTACTTCAGACAATGCACTTCATGTTTTAATCAACTAAACTGTTTTTTGCTTTGTTTCTTGTGTGATGCAGCAATACTATAAACTAAAATAA